CATCACTACTGTCGAGAGTTTGAGCAACCTACATTCACATCTTAGATAGTTGGTACTGGTGTACCCTGGCTTTGACTGTCCTTTTCAAATTCTTTATTAGAAAAAAATCTATAATCCTTTCTGGATAATATAGGACAATTCCTTAAGATGAGGATCTACCTTTCCTTCTTATTTGTATTGTCATAAGTAAGTTAAATGTTAATAACTACCACTATCTGAGAATATGCCAAAGCCATTTAACTTATGCTTACATTGGTGTAAAAAATGCCTAAATGCCTTTTATCCATTTACTTAACTGAGAAATCACATAAATCATGACAAATCTTCAAAACCCATCATAAATATTAATGTTTTATGTTTATTTGTTAATCAAGTACTTTTTAAACCTCAAAATATGCATAATTAACAGAAAAAGACAATAGGCATGAAATGAGAATATAAAACTCACATCTTCAGGAAGACAAACAGCACTTTAGTCCATCAAGGTTACTGAACACAAGAGAAGTCCTATTCTAAACACCAACTCCTTTTTGTCCTTTACAAACAGTTCAACTGATTTTTTTAAAATTTTCACTTGTAAACAACATGAATCAAAATAGACAATGAGATTAAATCTAAATACTACACAGTATAATTTTAAAACACTAGATAAAACACTGTATTAAAAACATAGAAATCAGGGTTCACTTTGATCTGTAGTATGGATAGAGGTGTTAATATCAAAAGAAGCAACACATACTATTAAAGCCAGCTTGGTGGTAGGTGCCAGTGGTTGATAGATGGGATTAAAGAGGTAGTCAACACCATCATTAATAAGCTGGAAACTTTCACAAGTGTTAAGCCACAGATGTATTAAATATCATAATACTTTCTCATAGTACAGTACTTTACCATAATCTTGCAGCTTCGTTCCAAACATGAAATTTAACAATGAATCCTAGGTCAACCTCTCACTCTAACAGAATAACTAGGACACAGATCACACAACCACATTTTAAAGAGGCTGTTGACAATTATGTCAGACAAAATTTGATCTTTCAATAATTGTTTGTTTCTAAAACAAATAAATCTCATTAAGATATCTAGAAAATTAAAGTCAGTGCAGCTGAATATTTCTTCAAATTTTATAACCAAAGGAGAAATATGCATATATATTTTCTGATAAACATTTCTTAGGGAAAACAGATAAATTAATTTAAATTAACTTTAAGACTTAATGAGATTTCCCATGTTCTGTATAATTCATCTTAAAGTGAATGTTACAAAGTTTATTAACACTTATGGGCTTCTATTCACAAACTAAATACAACCAGCACTAACTTGGGGCTGCACTGGTGCAAAATAAAACTGAGGCAGACTAGAAAAAAATACTGGCAATCAAAATATCTTATATTTGGAGGCGGACTGATGCTAATGACATGATGTTTCTTGATCTTTTTCTTTACACTGCATGCTAAATTTCCAAATTGTAAGCAGGTAAAAACCATTCTAACTCTTTCAACTGTAAAAATACATCCAAAGACTAGAAATATAAGTATAAAAATGTTTTCACTATAATCTGCCTTGAGGCAAATGAATAGCTCATAGGGCTAACAGATTGGCAGTGCACCTTTCTTAGGAATTACATTTGTGTTAACATGAGGCTGAGTTCAAGAGACAGCTTACTGCACAGACCTACTGCCCCATCATTAGTAACTCCTGCAAACTGCCACTTCCCATAGACCCTTCCCCTCAGTAGGTAGGAATGGCATTACACTTTAAGTTCACTCCTTGGCATGCCAGTGCTAGTTACCTGCCTGGAACTATAATAATCCAATATATTTGGCTTCAGGGTAGCAGAGACATGTAAATGAAGGAATGTGGCATATTTTATACCACTTGCCCAGGATGAATATTGTACATTCATACACCAATCCCTCCTCCTGCTACCCTTTCCTGACCCTCCCGGCCCCAGCTCTTGGCAAAGCAACTATTTCCAAGATTGCTTGTGCTCTGGTTTGTTTAAGCTGAAGAGTACCCATAATTTTTCATACTAAATCCATGATTAACTTTAAGGGAATGCTTGGAGACTTTGCTAATTAAAATGAGATTCTTTATTATTCAAACATGTTTGTCAGAAACATGCAGTTATGAATTACTATCTATAATACAGATAAAAAAATTCTGTACAGAGAATTCTCAGTCATTTGTAAGGCTAGAGCAGCATAAAGGTATGCTATGTATCAACAAAGAGGTAGCCTTTTGCTGTAAACAGAAGAATATTTCACCAAAGTAAATGAACAATATCAGTGATATTCACATCTGAAAGGAGTTGAGGAATTCCCCTGCTTTAGGGGACTTTTCATATGAAATGAAAATAGAACTGATATCTGATATTCAGAATTTTGATCTATGTCAAACTCAGAGGTAGTTACTAACATCAAGTACATGTATTTACATAAAGGTCTAAGTTATTTGGCTTGTTTTGAGTAAGCAGGACTGTAGACTAGTCTGTAAAGAAATAACAACAACATTATACAGAATGTTCCCTGAGTAAAGTTATTTGTCCTGACTATGTTATGTAATAGTGACAATATTCTCATAAAAAATAAACCCAACTTTTAACCATAAGATAGGTTTGGTATGTGCTCTTAGCAGTTCAGTCTAGTCAGATGTAAAAACAGATTTAAAATTGCACCCATAAGGTCCACAGTTCTTAAGAGTTTCTGTCTTTTCTATTTTCATTTTATATCATGATCTCAGCTCTGAATATTTTACATGTAAACAGGGAATGCCCATTTTTCAAGTCCATAATTTCCTATTTCTAAAAAGTCAAGGAACTTTAGTTTGAATTTTCAAAGTGACTTGTCATATTTTGCATTTTTACTGTTAATCTGCTTATTATACCTGCTAAAAATTAAGCAGTGCCACTTTGATTTGTCTACGTAATTTAAATAAACTTGAAATCGTCATATAAGGCAAGGAAATACTTCTCTACAGCTATATCACATTCAATGTCGTCAAAGGTAGGCATCATAGCACATTGATATTTCAATATAACCATGGAAATTCTCATAAACAGTGCTGTGAAATCCAGGCTGAGTTATAAAGGACGGGCAGGCCAGCCTGAGGCATGTTGTTCTTCAGGTGGCTTGCTGAAACAGTAGCAACTATCCCAGCATCCATGACAGGACAACAGAAAAGGGAGCAGGGACTGTTCAGCAGAGTATGTCTTACTTGAGTCAAGCTGTCCTTTTGTGTTCTCTCTCTCTCTCTCTCTCTCTAATTATCTGAGCTTACATTAACAGGCCCATACAAAACTATATTTATTGCCAATAGTAAGCATTCTAATTAATTGGTAGCTTTTTGGAGATGTTTCAGAAATTTGCCTATAATATATAGAAACAGGGTGACACCAAATTCATTTTTTCTCATGACTGAAACCTAAAGAGACCAATACTACAACTGGTTCCTAGCCAGTTTGTTACTGTAACTGAAAACCAACCTGAGAAGATGCTCTATCCCTAGTATCTGATGTTCATCTTGGATCCACCACATAGGTTACTTCAGCATAAGTGCTGACGGTAATGTTCATCAGATCAATGTTATTATACAAGATGCTTCTAGTTATACGATGGGAGAGGTTTTAGAACCTCTGCCCCAGCTTTTCACTCTAGTTCCCTGCCACCAAACTCTACTTTTTAGTATCATTCACAGGTCAAACCTACTGGGATATTATGAGCATCTACTTAATTTTTATTCTCAACCCAGTATTTTATTCATTTCCATGCTGCTTTTGTTTTAGAAACAAGTTAGACAACTCTCCAGGGGGAATAAAAATAGCTACCAAAAAATACAGAATACAATACAAATACAAATACAATACATATGATTGGAGTTCTCCTCTAAGGTCTTCAGTAGTAAATAAGGAAGGCTCCCTGCACTAAGTGATACTTACAAGATTGACTCAGTTAAGGGAAGCTGCTGTTGCCACAACCTATGTAAAAGATTATAATGAGCTAGTATCAAAATACCACTGAAAACAATCAACTTGCTACATTTATACATTACCCTCCCCTTCATTTTTCTTAATAGGGAAATCAAAACATAGAATTAAAAACATTGAAATATTGGCACAGAAATTACACATTCATTGTCTTTTCTGGAGTTATGTATCCCAGAATCAAAAAAGCTACGGCAGTCAGAAGCATATGGAGTTAAGGTACTACCTTCAAACAGGACAAAAAAAAAATACTCCATAGATAGCAAGAAAACGAGGCAATTCCAAACTCGGGAGAAACTGGGTATCTTAAAAAACCTTTAGTACCATATGACTGGCAGCTCTGAGATTTGAAGTATCCTTTGGTTCACACAAAAGGTACCAGTCATGTTTTCATTTTTATGTAATATAAAAAGGTGACATTTTTTAAAAAACTCAAGGGATTATTTTCTAAACCATCTTAAATACTTCACATGGATTTTCAATTTCTTCGAGATATCCAATTATGTGAATAAGGGTATGTGCTTATCCATACACACACACATGTAAAGACAAACCATCTTTATATATATATGCCTACATTCCTATGTAAAATTCTCATACATGCACACAGATCCAGGCTCTCTCCTCTCACACATCCACATGTTGATATATGTATGTATGTGTGTGTGTGTGTATATATATATATATATATATACACATTCATTCTCTGCGTTACATAAAATATGACAACCTGCTCAAATGTAATTTGCTTACAGTGATTTGTCTGTTAAGAAAAAATCCACAGTTCCTAAATAGTAGTTAAAATCCCAGGTCAGCTGCTATCTGTGAAATACTGTTTCCCTGTACTTGCATGAGGTAGACTTCCCAACCAGGTAGAGAAAACAATACCCTAAGAAGGACTATATCTTTTTTCTCTTTTGAACAGAAGGCCCCTTTTTGTTTTGCTCTTCTGGAGCTACAGATGCCTTCATGCAGGAAACTTCTGCAGGTGACCTGCCTGACCCTTGAGACCTCTGACCTAGCCTGAGGAAGCAGGTGATGTGCAGCCATGCCCTTTCCCAGCTTCTCTAGGGGAGACTGATGTACATGGCTGGGATTCTGCTTCCTGTCTTCCCTGAGAACTGGCAGGCAGCTGTGCGATAGTTTTATGCAGGCAGTTTGCCACCATGTGCATGACGCTCTGACAGTAATGGCACTTTTTTGGCTGAGGAGGTAGGCTACATTCCTTTGCGTGATGATCAAGGCCGCCACAGTTGTAGCATCTTGGAGTTATCCTGGACTTTTCTCCTCTCACAGTCCACTTCTGACCCATCAGTAAATTCTGCTCTCAGCACCTATCTCCCTTTGCTTTGCTTTGCTGTAGCATCTTCCCTTTGGGTCTTCTTTCACTTCCTAAACAGGGCCTCCCACCAGGTCCTGTTACCCTTATTGATTCAAGGCCTTTGGAGGATTTTTTAAACGTAAATTCCACTGGTTCTCCTTCTTTCAGGCTTCTAAATCCTTCCTTGAATAGTTTGCTTGGGTGTACAGATACATCCACTGGAATATCCAAGGGGCTTCCCTCTGGGTTTATCATGGAGATGAATACAAATCCCATGTGCACATTGAACCACTTACAGTGGCCAGTTCTGTGCAAAACCTGGGATTGTTCCTCTGCCTGCTATGGCGGCTTCCCCGGCTCTTCTCCACCACCTTTACTTGCCCCTCCTGGGACTGATGAAACCTGGTTGAATGATCTCATCTTCTTCTGAACAACCTCCAGGGCCTCATGGTCTTGTCGCCTGCGTGGGCGGAGCGGGAGCAGGTGTGGGTGTGAGGACCCGGTGGCGCGAGGGGCCTGGGCCCTGTCAGTTCCTGAGGGAGCACTGTGGCCCAGGGTCAGCGTGCTGGGGGCCAGCACGGGGCAGCGGAACCACCTTGGCTGCTGCAGCCAGGCCGAGGGGAGCAGGGGGCTGGGCTAGCATTCCAGATTTCTTGTGAGAAACGGAAAGTAGATTAGACCCTGTATTATGAGTTTAATGTTTATCTTGATTTAATCTAAGCCAAGTTCTTAATTTCTGGCATATGATTTCTATTGCAAAAACAATGTTAGATTTTTTTTCTTATTATGATTATCTTTTATTTTGTATAAATTGTTTTATTTAAATGCTTTAAAGAATGACTTAGTAGTAATTGTAATAGCAAAAGGTCCAGTTGCTCCGCTTTCCTGTGAAGCCCATAACTAGAGATACCAATAACAGAGGAAGAAAGAACTTTATTGGCAATAAGCCAGCAAGTTGGAAAATGATGACTTTTGTACTCATTTAAAAAGTCCATCATACTTAGGGGTTGCAGATGGAAGGTTTGTAGAGGGGTTTTGGAGAAAACCTCTTTTTGTCTTTGACAGAAGGGTTGCTAGGGTGGTCATAAAGTCCATGTTGGTTTGCTTTTATAATACACATGCTGCTGTTATCTGAACATCACTCAATGCCCTGGGTTCTATATCTCTAAAGAAAAAGCTTAGTTTCTACATTTATGATTATATGGATTCGATCTTGGAAAATTTTTATTTCCTCTTTGGCCTTTATTTTTTAAAAGTCTTAGACTTGTAGAAAAATTAAAAAGTCACAAAAACAGTACAAAGGGTTCCCTTATCTCTTGTACTCGCTTGCCCATTATTAACATATTGCATAAGCTCAAGTATCATGGGCCAGAAATTAATATTGATACAATATAAGTTTTTTTTGAAAATGTGGCAGCGATTTTGATCATTCTGGAATTGCTCTTGTGTGCAAGAGTAGAAGCCTAATAGGTTTCAATCAGTCTAGATGTTTGAAAGCATTGCTTACAAATGATTGTAAAAGGAGGAGAATTTGTGAAGTGAAAGATGCATGTCTAGACCAAACTTTAGGCTTAGATCACATACTTTTTAAAAAATGGCTTTCACTTTTAAGTAATTAAAGAAAATGCTTTGGTAAGAACTATTCACTATCAGTCCTGCCATATCCCTCTGGTAATAGGGAGGAAACAGTGGGCCTCTGACTCTGATAATAAAGTGAGCCAAGCGGCTATGTGATGGTCCATAATTATACTCAGTGTCAAGATGGGGACTCAGGAGTTGATGGATATAGGTTTTTACCTGCAACGGGAAAGAACAACTATGGAAAATCAATTTTTTCTCGTGAAAAATGACTCACTGTAATTCTTAACATTTTACTTTGGGCTGATTTCGTTTTTAGAGTTCCAATTTGTTTATGCAATGCAATAAGGATGAAAAATACCTATGTTGTCTTGTGGTTTTGATTAAAGATAATGGAACCTTCCATTTATATACTAATTTATACTTCAAACACACTTATTTTCACTTACATTAGTTCATTTTACTCCTCATAACAGCCCTGACTCGTAGCAGGAATTGATAACTCTCATAGTTCTGGTGGCCCAGAGGGCAGGTCAATGTGCTGGATGTGTGCTGTTTGGTCAGGCCCTGTCTCCAGTTCCAGGTGATACTGTGTTACTGTGTCCTCCATAGGAGAGGAACACATAGCTGAAGAGTAGAGGAGGAAAAAAGCATCTTTTGTAAGGGTCTCAGTCTCTGTCATGAGGTAGGAGACCTCATGATATAATCATCTTATAAAGTCCTTACCTCTTTATATTATCACATGGATTTTTGAGGTGATACTTTCAGGCTCTAGCAGTGTCCTATACTTGTGTTACAATAGATGAGACTGAGTACAAGAGAAATTATATACTTGATGTAGTTGTAAGGCAAGTACTTGTACTATCTTCTTACCACTGAATCAGTATATTTCCAAGGTCTTAGCTACTGAATCCTGGGACTCTATATAGAAATACAGCTATTATTAGATGATGAAAAATGAAATTTATATACCTAAAATTGACTGTTTTATTCTTTATGTAATTCAGGGGAATGTTTTAAAATTTGCATCTATGTTTATGACTTTTTCATCTGGATCTGTGTGTGTGTGACTGTCTATACTGTATTTAGCTACTTCTAAAACTCTGATTTCTAGACAAATAAATATCCTAGGAAAGAGAGTCAGGGATCCAGTAACAAGGCAAACTAATATAATGTCTACTGTTCTAGAAAAGTATAAGCCATGATTCTGGTTGCGTATATGATTGCAATTTGGTTACAAACAGAATTGTGGAATGAATCTTGTGACCAGAATCACTGAAAGAATTAAGTTAATGAAAGGTACCACAGTACTTTGGATATCTCTAACAATGTCAAAAAACTACCCAGAAAAGCCCTTATAATAAAATTAATGTGTGTGTATTTATGTGTATGCATTAAAGGAGAAATTCTATAGCAACTTTGTAACCATAGTACAGAAAACCAGATGTTTTGTGTACCCAATATAGTGCAGGCATGTTTCTATGTGGCATGTTCCTATTCTTTCACTGAGATGACAGTTGAATCATTTTAGTGTCTGAAAGTGTAATCCATTGCCAAAACTTTGACACTGGGCAGCTAATTGGTGTCAGGAACTGCTCTGTGCAGGGAGAGGCTGGCTTGGGTAGTGGGGGCATGGCTTCCTGAGGGCTAAGATGAATGGTGGGCACGAGAATCAACTGGAGTGTGGCTGAGTGTCAGGAAGGAAAGACCCGCTATTCCCAGAAGATTCATGCATTCTACATAGTGATCCATAAAATAGACTATGTTGTGCTAGATTTATACAGAGCTGTAGAGCAACACTTCATGTTTTAGAAGGCAAGGAGTGTTTGAAATTCTGAGTCAGTTCCTTTTTGCTGAAGTTCTGTCCTGAACCAGTGTTAGTAATCTTGAATAAATGTATTAATCAGTACAACATGGGTTCCTTGATTTAGAGAGTTGAATTCTTAATCACTCTGCTTCTAAGAGGATAGAAACCCAAGATTTCAGGGTGTGATTTGGGGAGCCTGAGGAGAATGCTGGAATAATTATAGAACTACTCCTGCCACCCCAGGTGAAGCATGAGAATCCTAAGCAAAGAACACATAGGTGTGGTGATAGAAGCAGTATATTATTTTTCATTTTATGTGTGTGTGTCTGTGTGTGTGTATACATATGCATGCATATATGTGTGTTTAGATAATACCTTGCGTTAATTAGACTGGAGCACTCATTCAATATTTCCTGGGCTGTATGATTCCATATATCTAGCTCAATGTTTCCCAAGCTTGTTCACTGATTTTAATTATCTTTAGTTTTCCTTTAACTTTTCCCATCTATATCCTGTCCTAGGAACAAATATATACATGAACTGAGGTTTTAATACTAAATTTGAAAAGAAATGTATTTGCTTTCAATAGGAAATTCTCCAGGAATAAAGAACCAGCTATTGGCCCTGCATGAAAGGTTTTTATTATTCTCCTGTATCCCTGAAACTTAGCACAATGCTTGACAAATGGTAAGCACTCGATATTTGTTTGATGAATTAAAGGAATGCTGGCTCTGCGTTACTAGTAAAGTAGAAATCATAAGATTTAAAAATTGAACGACTCAGGCATTGAATTCAACCCTGTCTTTATTTTGAGATTCAAAGGGGTTTGCTTTTCTAAAGAGAAGGACTGTAGATCTGAGAACAGAATCAAGTCACCTTGCAGCCTGTCAAGTACTCTTTCTATTTATCAGCAAATGGATATTACGTTTCACAGAGCAGTGCTACCTTTGATATTCTTGTTTTTATGAATTGGAGCATTGTGGGTAATCTGGAAATGTTCAAACCCATCCACTTAACAGAACATTTTCATAACCATATTCTATGGGACATTAGTTCCAGAGATTCCTCACAAATAACTTAGATGATAGATTCTCTGGTTAAATAAAAGCAGAAAATACTGCATATTTTATCTATAATACAAAACCCATGATACATATTAGCATAGAAAGTACTATGAGAACACCTTTGAAGAAACCTACTTTATGTTTTTTTCCTTGAAAATGCCCTAAAATTATTTGTACATTGAACACTTTATTTGTAATGTGCCTGCTAACCCTTGTAAACAGTATTCTTAAAGATGACATTTTGATGGTTGCTGTCATCTAACTTCTATGTTTGACCATGTGTTACCCAATGTTCTTCAGTCCTTAAGATCAATCTCTGATTTTTTGTGCTGTGATCACTTCAAAGCAGACATAGGGATTATTTTTAATTTACTGTAAAGATATCAGGCATATCAGACATTTTTGAGAAATGGAATATTATATTGAAGTTATCACGGGAGAAAAGAGGTAAATTTATATGATTTCCATTGCTTGGTTGTAATTACGAATGCTACCCCATTTTAGTCACAGAATATCCCTATATAGACAAATAGGAATTCTCAAGCCCAGTTCTACCACATTAGTCACCATTCCTCTTCAACTCATTCTGTTGTTTGGCAGCCATTTCTCATCTCATCTTTTTCCTTGATCTTTCTTTGCACCATGCCCATTCTCCACTTCTTCTGTTGTCACTCTGTTTTGCAGGGCCAACCTTTAGTTATGTGAAAGCCAAGGCAGTGGGATGGCAGCTCCTTTTCACTAGAAGTGAGGTTTTAAAATTCTTGAAAGGAAACTGGTCTCACCTTACTAGAGAATTTTCATATTATTGCTAATAACCTATAAGGTAG